TTGACCCCACCCTCCTAGAGGATGGTCCCCATTGAGATAGAAACATTTCCAAAGTTTCGTTTTTTATCTCGGTATCTCTTCCTGTAATCAAAATTTTCCAAAGAGGAAGATAATCCAGCGTAAAATAATATACAGGGTGATCCAAAAGTCCCTTCCACCCCCTCTAACTTTTTACCTAATTGAGGTAAAGATTTGAAACTTAGGGGATATTCCTAGGTCAAAGGGAGCTACTTTTTGGCCCCCCTAAAATTTTCAGGGGGCCCCCCTTGGGGGGGCAACGGCCCCCAACTTTTAATTTTCAAATGAAAAGACCCCCTTTGTGATAGCTCGTTCGAAAGAGCATAAAAAAAGAAAACTTTTCGCGCAAACCCGAAGTCAATATCTCAAACCGTTTCAAAATGGCGGCCGGTTAAAGTTCAAAATGGCCGAAAATTCACACCGGTTATTTGTCGATGGATTTGCGCGAAAATCGGTATGTAGGGGTATTTTGACACGAGAAAAACGAATTTGACTTAGATTTTCAAAAAAACCGAAATTTCCAAAATGGCCGCCGGTTACAGTTCAAAATGACAAAAAATTGATTTTTTTAGAAATCTAAGTTCAAATTTGTTTATCTTATGCCAAAATACTCTCAAATTCCAAGTTTTAGGCAAATCCATCAGCAAAAAACCGAGGTGACAATTTTCGGCCATTTTAAACTTTAACCGGCGGCCATTTTGGAAATTTCGGTTTTTTTGAAAATCTAAGTCAAATTCGTTTTTCTCGTGTCAAAATACCCCTACATACCGATTTTCGCGCAAATCCATCGACAAATAACCGGTGTGAATTTCCGGCCATTTTGAACTTTAACCGGCCGCCATTTTGAAACGGTTTGAGATATTGACTTCGGGTTTGCGCGAAAAGTTTTCTTTTTTTATGCTCTTTCGAACGAGCTATCACAAAGGGGGTCTTTTCATTTGAAAATTAAAAGTTGGGGGCCGTTGCCCCCCTAAGGGGGGCCCCCCTGAAAATTTTAGGGGGGCCAAAAAGTAGCTCCCTTTGACCTAGGAATATCCCCCAAGTTTCAAATCTTTACCTCAATTAGGTAAAAAGTTAGAGGGGGTGGAAGGGACTTTTGGATCACCCTGTATAAATCATTTTTAACGTGAATTTATCCCTCTTTCCATGAGAAGTGATCAATCGTGTTATCGTTCCATGCTGCGAAACATTTTTGGTCCTACCTTTACCTTGGAATTTTTCCTATCAGTCCTTCCCCTTTACCCATACCTACTCCTGGTCACAAACATGGGAGACTTATGCGGAAAGTTTTTGAATTTCCGCTCGACTTGACAACATTCGTATTGTCCAGGACGCGGCAAGGCTAAACGGGGGATCATGTCAAAGGTGAAATCATTGTTTTAGACGTTTATTAGCGCACGTATAAGTAATATGTAGTATACTCACGCTGCCGCGAGCGTAGTCGGGGCTAGGTCTCGACTCACTAGTCACGCTACTGCGCGGCTGATATTAGAACTGAGTTTTTGTCTAAATTTATTTTAAAAATTCCTATTGCTGATTGCTCAATAGAATTTGAATCTAACTGAGAAATTTAGGGGCCAAATCGGACAGCTTGATCGACATTTAGGGGTTATCAGGGGTTATTTTTACGAGCCAAATTGATTTTCCAGAGATATGTTATCATGAGTACCCCCAAAAATGACTCTTTTCTTTTTTGACAGGCTTTTTGACAGTTGAAATCATTTTCAAACGGTGTCTGCTACCTCTATAACTGAAATTACTAATACAGGGTGTCCCAAAAGTCCCTTCCACCCCCTCTAAAATTTTACCTAATTAATATTTTGAAACGGAACTTTGGGGATGTTCATCGATCGATGTAAGCTACTTTTGGGGCCCCCCAAAATTTTCGAGGCCCCCCGTGGGGAGGGGCTGCGGACCCCAACTTTTTTTTTCAAATGGCAACCCCTATCTTGTGATACCTCATTCGAAAGAGCATAAAAAACTAAGAATTTTGGCGCAAACCGCAGATCAATATCTTAATTTTTGACCGAGTTATGATAGGTCAAAGGTCAAATTTGACCTATTTTCAAAAAATCATAACTCCGGTTCAAATTATCGTAATGAAAAAAATAAAACGGGAAAATTTACCACATTGTAAGCACTTTTAAGGAAAAATCACAGAAATTACTTCAAACTAATTTTAAGGGGGGTTTTGGACCCCCAAATACGCCAATTCAAGGGTCATTCAATTTTCCCGCGAAATAAGCCAATTTCCCCCAGATTTGCCTCCACATTAGTTCAGTAAGGTCAAAATCAGTTCAACATTACGTTAGCAAGTCCCCAAATTTCGGGAAAAGTTTTAAAAAAAATTTAAACGGTCAAATTTAATCACCTTTAATTTCGTTTTTTTTAACTTTTCCCAAAATTTGGGGACTTGCCAACGTAATGTTGAACTGATTTTGACCTTACTGAACTAATGTGGAGGCAAATCTGGGGGAAATTGGCTTATTTCGCGGGAAAATTGAATGACCCTTGAATTGGCGTATTTGGGGGTCCGAAACCCCCCTTAAAATTAGTTTGAAGTAATTTCTGTGATTTTTACTTAAAGGTGCTTACAATGTGGTAAATTTTCCCGTTTTATTTTTTTCATTACGATAATTTGAACCGGAGTTATGATTTTTTGAAAATAGGTCTAATTTGACCTTTGACCTATCATAACTCGGTCAAAAATTAAGATATTGATCTGCGGTTTGCGCCAAAATTCTTAGTTTTTTATGCTCTTTCGAATGAGGTATCACAAGATAGGGGTTGATATTTGAAAAAAAAAAAGTTGGGGTCCGCAGCCCCTACCCACGGGGGGCCCCGAAAATTTTGGGGGGCCCCAAAAGTAGCTTACATTGATCGATGAACATCCCCAAAGTTTCGTTTCAAAATATTAATTAGGTAAAATTTTAGAGGGGGTGGAAGGGACTTTTGGGACACCCTGTATAATTTTCTATAAGCACTATACTGTTAAGTAGAGTTACATATTTGAGTTATTTTATGCACATCTAGCTACATCTAGGCAGCGCAAAATTTAGCAATTTAATGTAGCGAGTTTTGCAGATCGTCAAGGTGATTGAAAACCGTGCACGCATAAAACAGCTCTACAGTGTGAAGCTGAACTGGTTACGACCCTCGATCGCTGAATCAAGAATTCATTTTTTTCATTGAAACTTAATACCTTGATAATTATAATTATTTTTGCTTTCGCAGTTCTGAATACGTCATCATACCGATAGCTTTCATAGGGTAGGTGGGGGTAAAAGGCCGCATTTTTTCGTTTCGGCCGTCGGTAGGCCGCCGTATCGCGTGAAAATTTCTGGAATGTGGTAAAATATGTGCTAAAGACCCTTAGGCACAAAATTGCACACTTTCCAGAATTTCAAAAGCATTTTCGAATTTTTTATGAATTTTTTTCAAAAATTTCGTAAGTGCGGCCTTTTGCCCCAAAAATGGGGAGAGAGGCCGCACTTCCGGAAAAGTTCGTAAAAATTTCGGAAATGCATTCAAAATTCTGGAAAGTGTGCCATTTCATGCCTAAGAGGCTATAGTTGACATTTTACCACATTTCCAGAATTTCCATGGGATACGGCGGCTGACAGACGGCCGCAACGGAAAAGTGTGACCTTTTGCCTCCACCTACCCTACATTGTAGGATCTTTGGTAATTATTAATAATATTTAGTAAAATATGTAGTAAAAGATTTAGTATTGGTAGTATAAGTTGATAGATTAAGTATTAGTGCTATTTTAGTGAAGACCGCATGCGGCTTTTTGCCCCATTTGATGACGTAGGTAACCGTAACCTCTAATTTTTTTTTTTTTTTTTTTTTTTTTTTTTTTTTTTTTTTTTTTTTTTTTTTTTTTGGCTGGTTTAGTGGCTTATATTCCGTTGGAACCTACAGCCATCGATAGACAGTATTTATTGTCCTTAGACATCATGGGACTTAGGCACATCCATGCTCCAGGCTTTTTTCAGGGATTAAGGCCGAGTGGAATCTGTTTCTGCAGATCCACTCGTCAGTTCCATGAAAATTTGTGGCCACCACTGGGATTCGAACCCGGGACCTATTGGTCTAGAGTCAGACGCGCTGGCCAAAAGGCCAACCTGGCCGGCTAACCTCTAAATTCAAAGACAAGGCCATTAGCCGAAAAATGACGGCGGGATATTCAAACCATCTTTATCATTGTTCGAACTGCAGCTCGTCCGAATTTTTCGATCAATTATAAAACTGGAAAAATCGATTTTTTTCCACGAAAAATTAACTCTCCTCATATATTCGAGGGAACGCGTCCGTTCGGTCCGAAACTTCGTTAACACAACAGCACCACCACTACCAACATAACTAACACGGTACGGTCCCGGTGCCAACATAAAAAATTTTCGGGAAAAAAGTCGGGTGCGGCTCTTTACTCCCACCTACCCTAAGTTGAAAAATACAAATCTCCGTGTTCATTAACGTTTTAAGGATTCCCTCTTATGTTTCCTTTTTTAAAAGAAAATTAATATCCAATTAATCTCCTCGACAATTTTTGTTAATATTTACGAATGAGTGAAATAAGCACAGAGCACAGAGTATTACAAGAAATGATGTTGCTCAGTTTTTTTTTTGCGGGAAAAGAAAAGAAAAAAAAAAAAAAAAAAAAAAAAAAAAAAAAAAAAAAAAAGATAATAGCGGTGACTTGAAACGACACAAGTCGAGACACGCATTTTTCAATTATAGCCAGCGATACAGTAAAATAAGGTTCCTCTGTGTGCCCTTTCATCAAGCTCACATAACGTCTCAAAATATAGAGACCTAAACCAGTTTGAAAGCATTATCACTCCTCGAACGCAAGTATGCTGAATTCCTCATGTTCTTAGTTATGACGAGGCTGTTACACTTGTAAGGTTCACATATGCATGCTGCTTCTGAAATATCTTCCACCCACTTTTTCTTGCACACATCATACTTTTTTCCAGATGCAACCGCAACCCCAGCCGTAGCACCGTCACTCCAGTACCCCCAACTAGAGCAGAGGCACACCGGCGGAACATCACTGATCACGGACCAAGGGACCCCGGGACCGAACTTCCATGATCTCACTCATCAAGCACCGCATCCAACTTGGCTCGACCTCCCCACCTCGTCCGCTCCACAAAGCAACATTCAACGAATCCCCAACCCCGTCCGGAACCCTAAACCCCCCTCACAACTGTACCCCCAACCATCTGGGCCCCGTCTTTCGACTGGCCACCAAGTGACCAACCAGAGCATCCCGTTGATCGACATCCCAACTAACAATCTCCCCATCCACCGAGAGGAAGTCGAATACAACCCTCAAAAAAGCGAGAGGCCCAGTTTCTTGTCGGCGAGAACGCCGACGAGTCTGGCGCCGACTAGCACGTCGACTACAGCCGAATCGCGCACACCCCAATACACTCTCCCACAGATCAATTTCAACGGTGGCTACTCCAGACAGGAATCAATACTCTCGGGGGGGAGTACGCCGTTTCCCGATCAGTCTTTCAACACTAACTCGATAAGAGTCACATCGTCGTCGTCGGTTTATCAGCAGGCACCTCAGTCCTCCGGGAAGACGACGCACCACGTTTCTTCGTCACCATCGTCCTACGTGGGAGACTCCGATTTAAGTAACTATCCGCGGCTGCCGAACCAAGCATCCGAGGTAGGCGACGCCTACTCTCAGGCGACCCGGCATGAATTCGGGGACCAACCGATCCACTCGGGGGACACGAGAGTCATCGGGGACCAACCGATCCACTCGGGGGACACGAGAGTCAATCAGTTAGAGAAAACATCCAATCGACACAACCTTCAAAGCCTACCAAGACCCGGTACCGATTACGGCTCCTCTGAAACACATAGACAAAATTTTAGCAATCAGTTCAATCGACCGGGAGAAATGGATAGTTCCGTCAAGAAAAAAAGTAGCCCAAGCCAACTGACCCCGGCCAGTGGCAACCCTCAAACTAGGCAAAGGCTTCAACCCAGGCCGCATGTGGGGGATGCTGGCCTGAACCGGTTCGGAGATCAGCCGACAGGCTCGTATCCCCGAATTAGCACTGCGGTCCCAGGATTCTCCAGCCGTAGGTTCAATAATCAAACGAGAGCTGAGGTGGACAGTCAAGGTGGGATGTATTCGCAAAATGGTGGCAAACCACTAGGAGTTAACTTATTGAGCCTTTACGTAGTTCAGTCTTCGCCAAACCCCTTAAACTCGATCGCTGCCCAGCCGGCTTTTGAAGAGAATCATTCGACATCCTCAACGCCAACGGCCCGAATTCCTAGTTCTTCCCCCATCTACTTTGTCTCATCTACCCCGGGATCTAGTACCACAACCACAGTGGCACCATCTGCTTATCCACAGTTCTCCAACTCCCGTCAAGGATCTTATTCTCGATCCGAGATTCAGAGAACGACTTTCGCAGATAGATCAGCAACCTATCGGCAACCGCAACATTCCACGGCTATCACAGCCACGCCTGCATCAACATACGGACGACAACGACAAGGCGTCAATGATTTGTCTCAGTCTCCGGGAGCGATCTTTACGACGGCCACCCCGATCGTCGCTGACAAATACCCTGTGTCATCTTACGGAGGCTCCAGGGGCTACGCGGCATTTAACAGCCTCGAGACGACACCGGTTGGAAAGACCGGAAATCGAGGCCGTACTAAATTTTCGACTCCGACTTCCTACGGCGGGTCTGAATACTATCCTGCGGGTACACCTCAGCCGGTGAACGCTCAATCCTACTCAGCTATTAATCGCGGCGAAGTAAAATTCGCATCCTCAATCGATACTCCAACCGTTCACCCCCGAACATCCTCCGCGCGGGCATTCTCACGGTCTTCCCCCGATAGTCCTGACGTCTACCCTCGACCATCCGACACCGTCCCACCTCTCGGAAGATCCGCGATCGGTAGCATCGAATCTGATCACAACTCGGGAGGAGGAAGGTCATGGTCAGACAGATCCCAAAGTTCTCACTTCGGGGGCACGGGTCCACCCTCCTATCCATCCGCGCCCATCACTCCATCCGTAATACCTCCCCAATCCTCGGAGCCGTCGTACCCTCAGTCTAGACCTTCCTATCAACAGCCCTCCTTATTCGCCGCGCAATACGTCCCCGAATCCGTCGCTCCGAACACCCTGCCCAACTCTGACGCCAAGAACTTCCCGTCTCCCTCCTACACTACTAGTCAGGTGTTCGGTTCGAATTTAAACTCTCGCCCGTCGGTTCTTCACATGCCTGGACCTTTTATTCTCAACCCTTTATCACATGAAACTGGTGCAGCAAGCCTTCCGTCCTCTATGTATGCAACAAGTACGTTTGCTCCTGTACCTATCGCACCCAACTCAGCATCTAACCCCAGTAGCCAAGAATTCCCCTCTCCTTCCTACTTCCCAAGTCATGTAGTCGGTTATGAGTCGTCTACCTTTAGGCCTTCTGATTCCGGGTTTGGGTCGAGCACAGCAGCACCCTCAATTCAAGATTATGCACACAATCCGTTCCTGAGGCACCTGATCCCAAGCGATGACCAGAGCAACGGCCATGCATCCGGCTCACTGCAGTATAGGCCTTCTTTCGTCACCAGTGCTTCGCCCGCTCAAGGAAAAAATGACGTATTCTATCAGAGGTCATTGGCAATCATTCCAGCGCATGGAAACTCGCTAATTCCTGGATCAGGTAATCTGTGTTTTTCTGTAATATTTTACAAATCTATGGTGAAAGTTAAATGAAGGTGTCTTGGGTAAAGACGTACAAGCGGGATCGTTATTCCTGCGAAAAATAGTTTTCCGTAACCCGCCATACACTTTAGTGCACCGCTATAGTGGCCACAGAATAATAGCTCTCGCACCGATTCTACATTCACGACTTATCAATTATCAGCGATTGGGAATCCCACGTTTATTTTCTTGCTCTTTTCCTCTTTCCCCTACTTTCATCGTTGTCTCCACGGTCAGGCCAGTCGGTGATAGCTGTATGCATGCCTTCGAGGCTTCCCTCCGGTTCCATATCTTTTCCCCATTCTTCACCACACCGCAATCGGTGGCGAGGCGTGATTAATCGATTATCGATATTTCTCCATTTGAAGCCATGGTAAAGAAT